AGCGTGCTTAATGACAAGCTGTGGCACAAAAGATAGGACCTAGTGATCACAGCATTGCAGTGCAATGCCAAGAGAAGAGAGCCTGGGAAGGAGAGTGAGAAGGAGAATCCAGTAAGGAGTCCAAGTGCTTTCTTGATCTACAACACCAGGGTACAAAATGAGTCACTGAGTTTCAATAGTTAATTCCATTTCATTTTCTTAATTAAGTTACTTAGACAACTAGCATTAGTTGAGGTTGAATGCTCCAGAGAATTTTATTATCTGATTTGAGGATATACTCTACCCTGAATAAAAACAATGCAGGCTAACATTATAAAAGAACATCTTTAATATATAACAATGTAAAAATAACAGTGCTGTCTGTTCAAGTAGAGCTTGTCTCTGAGGAGCTCTAAGCACATTAAATATTAAGGTGAGGCCATGTTTTCTTTACAGCACAGAAAGCAAAATAACAGCAATGTTCTTTCCCATCTGGTCCTGCCTGTATTTTCAGACCTATCCTATGTTCTTCCACTTTTTTATTGATCCTCATTTTTAAGCACGTGAGCTCATTGCAGTTTTCCCCTAAATATGCCATATCGTTCTTAGCATGCTTTCCTTGCCGTTCTATCTGGTGAGATTCTGTTCCTCCTTAAAGACTCAGCTGAAATGCCCCAAGTCTCTGTAAGGTCCTCTCTGATGTCTCAATTAGTCCTGTATTTTCAGTGCACATACATTTGCACCTAATGAACACAAGTTCCTTCCTTTTAGATACTCTCTTAGTTCCTAAGGACAGGGAGGGACTATGTCTTGTCACTTTGAGATATGTCCTTGGCATACAGACAGGTTACTGAGCATAGTAGATGCCTAAGTGACTAGTCCCAGGATGAAAACTGTAGGCTGCCCTGGGGATGGGACCTGGGTTTCACTGCCTAGTGCCCTGTACAACGTAAGTGACCATTCATCAGTTCATCTTAATGCTGTCATTAATGCTGTCATGCTCTCGAAAACAATGCAATTTGCAGTTGCCCCTTTCGTCTCACCAGTGGTCCTGTCAGTGCCACTTTGTCTATTTGGTTGTCTTGTGCCTTCTCTAGAATAGAACAGCTCTACTGTATCCATCGCTTCTGAAGAAATTTGCTCTCTTGATTTTATAGCTTTCTAAACAAAAAGCATGTTTTTAAACTCTCTAACTCATCAGTTTTAGCTTTTTTTGTCCCCATGTCTAATGATATATATTTTTTAAAAGTTATAGAATATGGTTGGTGTGCTCTATCTCAAAGAAAATACTTTGAAAAGAAAGCAGCAAATGAATCTTTAGTAAAGAAGTTAAATGTGTATCTAAGCACTCAACCACTTTCCTTTTACCAGGAAGTCACAACATTGAAGATACTTTTTTGCTTTGGACTAAGAAATAAAAACTTAAGGGCCACATGATCTTGAGCATAATTTACTAGACTCAGCAGATATCCTGGCTACAAATGTGCATATTTCCCATCTATAATTTTTCTTAAATTTTATTTTCCTTATTTGGTGCTTTGGACCAACGAAAAATGCTGGTGTTCCAACATAGCTCTTCCTTCACTTAAAAATTGACTCTTTTACCTTTGTATTTTCTTTTTGGACACTGCAAAGAAATTGAAGTTGTCTAAATAATCATCTTTCTCCTAACTTGAATTAGACAAGAAAAAGACTTCACTTTCACTGGGGGAGAATTACATCACAGAACAAATAACATCATTGTACTAAAATGCCTGATCATTTAATTCTTGAGTTTCTTTTTCTGTGATGATGCTTAAAGAACCAGAATTTTTTGTCAAACTAAAAATAGATTATAAATTTATGCTTATAAATGGTGTCTTAGGCAGAAGAATGTTGGCTATAAATAGAAAGTAGGATTTGGTTTTTAAATTAATGCCTTATCTCAAAATACCACTTTCTTACCTTGGTCATTGTATGTGAGATCCTGTTCATGTTTCCAGGAGCTTCATAATATTTCTAAAACTGGAATGGGGAGGAGGAATGCTTATTAGAGGTGGCTTCTCCATAAAGCATCTGGGCATTATGCTACTGTATATTTAGCTCAATCTATGAACATATGTGCAGCATAATAGTGCCTATTTATTTATTTATTTATTTATTTATTTTAAGTGAGGGGCAGAGAGAGAGAGGGAAAGAGAGCAGGCTCCACACTGTCAGTACGCAGCCCAATGTGGAATTCGAACCCATGAACCTTGAGGTCATGACTGGAGTCAGAATCAAGAGTCCGATGCTTGACTCAGACCCCCTGCCTCCCTAATAGTGTCTATTTAAACACAACCCTGAAAATTACCCCTTTGCCATAAAGAATTCATTTCAGCATGAATTCTTTATATGCAAAGACAGAATCTCATCAAGAAAACCAGATCTTCATCAACACATTTGTGTTTGAAAGAAACCTAACAAAGTTAGATAATTCTAAACGTCTAATAGAAATAATGATATCAAACTGGATGTTAATTATTCCATTAAATAAATGTTCTTTTCTCCTTGTTCTTAACAAAAGGTAATTTCTCTTGACTTTATGAGAGCCCTTTGGCTAAGAAATGTTAAGAAATTCACAAAGCTAAGACTAAAATGTTTGTGCTCATTTCTTGCCTCTCGGTGGTTCCATTAAGCAGCAGCGTTTGTGACTGTAGCTTTCCCACAGGGCTCAAAAATATTTTTCCTTTTTTGCCCTCTGACTCTTTTTGCTCTTCCTCTTCCAAATCAGAACTGCACTGCTGTAAGAAATTAGGTGGAGAGGTGCCTGGGTGGCTCAGTTGGTTGAGTGTCTAACTGACACTGATCTCAGCTCAGGTCTTGATCTCAGGATCGTGGGTTCAGACCCCATGTTGCACTCCACACTGAGTGTGGAACCTACTTAAAAAAATCAGGTGGATTTATGAATGGACAGATAGATGAATAAAAGTGTGATAAACCGGGGGCACCTGGGTGGCTCCATAGGTTGGGCGTTGGACTCTTGATTTCAGCTCAGGTCATGATCTTGCAGTTTGTGAGTTCGAGCCTCGCATCAGGCTCTGCACTGATAGTGTGAAGCCTGCTTGGGATTCTCTCTTTCTCTACTTCTTCCCTGCTCACATTCTCTCTCTCTCAAAATAAATAAATAAACTTTTAAAACTTAAAAAAAAAAGTGTATGATAAACCAAGTATGGTAAGTTGTTAATGGTAGAATCTAGATGGAGGTTATAAAGGCAGTCACTGTAAGATTCTTTCAACTTTGCCGTGTTGAAAATTGTCATAATCCTTTAAGGGTGGTTATCCAGGAAGGGTAGGATGACAGGAGTTTTCACATATTTTTTAATTTTTCACAATTATATTATTAGAGAAAGATGAAAATAAAGCTACATGAAACTGTCTTTACAAATGAAGTCACCAGACTATTGGTTTAAAGTCCCTTCATGTTTGGGGTACCTGGGTGGCTTAGTCGGTTAAGTGTCCGACTTTTGCTTAGGTCATGATCTCGCGGTTCATGGGTTCGAGCCCCTTGTAGGGCTCTGTGCTGACTGCCAGCTCAGAGCCTGGAGCCTGTTTCAGAGTCTGTATCTCCCTCTCTCTCTGACCCTCCCCTGCTCATGCTGTCTCTCTCTCTCTCCCCTAGAAATAAATAAAAATATAAAAATAAATAAATAAAGTCCCTTCATGTTTGAAATTCACATTAGGGCATACTACATAAGAACGTGTTCAGTGATTTAGCTGTATGATGGTGATCACATTATTACAATAAGAGATTGGTTATGTAAGCATGGAATATATAGTCAGTGGAATACTATGCAGCCATTAAAACTTAGAATACAGAAATAAATGCACTAACATGGAAAGTTATGATATAATGTTCTCTATACTATCTTGAACATTATGAATTTCTAGATACAGCTGGAAGTATATATATATATATATATAAAGATATTAGCTCTGAATTATCAGATTATGGATTTTTTTCTCTCATATAGATTTTTTATTCATATTTCCATTTTTTCCTTAAATAAAGATTTTCCAATATTTTTATTTTAGTAACATAAGAAAGAAAGAAAACAGAAAAGAAAAGAAAAAAGCCTGGCTATTTTTCTGTAAAAATGGAGCAGGGAAACCTTGGTATCTGTAAATAACTTTTGATCAAGCCAAAAGATTATCTGGGTTTTTCCTTTTATCTATATCAATGAAATCTGCTCTCTATATTTTCTTAATCTTGCTCTTACAGAAAGTGCATTTAAAATATGTAAAAACAAATAATTTCGTTCATTCTTCTGGAGTTATTTTCATGGACTTAACTAGTGGCTTTGAAGGAAAGTTAAGATATTTTCATGCTGTTAGGCCCAAGGCATTTCATACTTGGAAATGCCCTATCTTTAATCTGTAATTGCATTAGATTTCTGTGTCTGACTCATGAGGAAAGGAAGCTTCAAAGCTGAAATGGTAAAATCTAATTTCTCTCTAAATACACTAAGCATTGATATATTTCAGACAGTGTGACACCTATGTTCCAAGTAGCCTAACCAAAAGAACTAAGAGTTCAAGGACATGCTGATTAGATAATAAGAATGTTTTTATTTATTATAGATCTCTTTTGTCCAAGGAGATTTAAACAATGAGCTAGAATCAGGTAATCTTTGCAATATGTCTCTGGTAGGGATAGAGGGAAGGGACTGTTACTGCTAATTTTTATTCATCCAGGAAACATTTACTGAGCACTTTGTGTATGACCCTGCAATTAATATTTCACTTATGGTTTCCCCTCTAGAAGATGTTTTTTCAATGACTATCAAAAGAAAAGTTGGATACGAATAAAAGTAAAAATATGCATAGAGAGATTTCATTTCTGGGTTCCAGGTCTCTGGCCCTCCCATTGTGGATTATGTGGAATTTGTAACTCATTTATATATTTACCCCCTTCCTGGACGCTGATGTTCCGTTCTAAGAGAGACTTCTCACTGCCTCACAATGCCTACCATTTCATTATCTTCACTTCTTGTCTTCCCCAGGCAAAATGTCCAGTGACCGAGCTTTAAGGAAGCAACAGCAGTTAAACAACCTTGTTTATGTGGTGACAAGTCAGGCCAAACCCGGTGACAGAATTGTGGATTTCTGCAGCGGTGGGGTATTATGTCTCTCTTTGTATTCTCTTTGGCCTTTCCCTGACTGTGTAACTTTACTGTATTATGTTCAAAGTCATATTTTTCTTTGGCAAGATTGCTGTCTCAGAATGAGAAAAAAGCATTAGGGACCCGAGTTAACTTGTTTCTTTCTCTGCCTTCTCCAGGGCCATGTTGGCATTGTCCTCGCTCACATGCTGCCATTATGCCAGGTAAAAATCTGAGTGACAGATCAAGGTAAACACTGGAAAACTACACAATTCAGTTAGCTGAGTCTTACCCCTGCCCTTTGAATTTATAAGCATTCACTCAGGTCACATACATGGCACAGATACTGTTTTTTTGTCTTTGAACTAACCTAAGAATCTTTAAAAAGGCAAAGTACGACCACAATACAGTTTTAATTTTTATAAAAGGGTTATATATTGCTTTAAAGTTTTTTTATTTTGAAAGAGACCAAAACAGCATGAGCAGGGAAGGAGTAGAGAGAGAGAGAGAAAGGGAGGGAGTCCCAAGCAGGCCCCACGCTGCCAGCGCAGAGCCTGACACATGGCTCGAACTCACCAACCATGAGATTATGACCTGAACCGAAACCAAGAATCCAAAGCTTAACTGACTGAGCCACTCAGGGGCCCCTAAAAGGGTTTTGTTTTTAAATAATTTTTAGAAGAAATAACTATTCTGTGGTTAAGTAAAACAATGAATGATGAAACTAGTTTAATTGTCAACATAATTTTATGTTGGAAATAGTAGCTTCTCCAAATTCATCACACTCATCCCTCAAATGCTTTTCTCCCTATATTCTCATCAAGTCATTGTCCATGAGGATGCCTCTTACTGCTGTCCATGAGGATGCCTCTTACTGCAGATTCTAAAATTGCAAATACAATTTTAGTCACCAGCTTTCACTAGTATGTTTTTCCTTATTGCAAATAGTTTTAAATATCATTATTAAATATCACTAAAATCTAATTACATAGTATGTTTTTAAGTAAATGTACCATGTTTATGCAGTGGTTGCCACTGTTTGTTGATTGTTATTTTTAGTCTTCTGCCGTATGAAATCTTTCCTCACAGTGACCATCTTTTAGCATAAGAATCTAGAATTTGATGTATTTAAAAAAAAATACAAATCAAATGGGGCAGATTCTTTGCTTGTGAACTCTCTGGAAGGTGCAAAATAATTACAGCAATTCCTCCCAGAAGTGAAAGATGAACATAGACTGGCTGGAATGACATGTAGCAGAATGATAGGGTGTAGAAGGGTATTATTCTTTTCCTTCCTTAGAATATAAGGGGCAAAATGGACAACGAATCCTGGGAAAAACTAGCAGGTGTCTGTTTTGTTATCTAGGAAAGTGACAATTTCATGGAGCTAGAGGAAGAAAGTTCATAGAGTAGAAGCCTGGAGAAGCAGAGGCAGAGATAAGGGGTCTTTTTCCCCTTCCCAACAGTTCTGGAACCTTAGAGACACTGAGCCTGGAGAGGGGAAATGTTGGCTAGAATAATAAATGTCCAGAAAGCCTTAAGCCAAGTACATTCTGACAGGTTTCTTTATACAATGGGACCCAGGATTTTTCTGGAAGACAAGCATAAGGACAAAGTAAGGGTAGAACTAGAGATGATAATGATGAAAGGGACTTAAGTCTGCCCACTTTTCTCTCTCCAAACCAGTAATCTTCTCCAATCTTCTTTGGCCTGGATTCCTAGAGACTCCTAACTGGTTACCCTTCCTTCTGCCTCACCCCCACAAACACATACTATACATTGCAGCAACGGAAGCTTCTTTTATCACACCACCTGGCTCCTGTTACCTCTCCAGCCTCATTTCTACCCTCCACACCCTGTCCCCCCACTCACCATCACCACCACACACTGTGCCTCAGAGACACGAGTGTTCTCAGTTCTTCAAACACCCTGTACCTGTCTCACTTCTGCCTCCATAAATGTTTCTCTCTCTGCTTGAAACATGCCTACATTGCTCCAGCCAGTTTCTATTGATTGTTCAGGCCTCAGCTTCTACATTATTTCCATGTTGAATGACTGAGACCTTCCTTAGTCATCAAGTCTGAGTGCTGTGATGACACACGATATGTCTCTCATTAAACACATATCACTGTATTGTAATTGCCTGTTTCACGTCTATCACTCCATCCGTAAGCTGCAAGAGCTCAAGGACCTTGTTCAGTTTTGTGCCACACTATCTGGCATACTTCCTGGCACAGAACAAGGATTAATGAATAGGTTCTACATTAAAGCTGAAATACAGTAATAATATTTTGCCCTAATGTCTGAATTATGTTACTGAATGTACTTTTGTTTCCTGGATGAAATCTAGGTTACATTAATAGAAAACAAGGAACTGTCATTAATTCGTGCTAAGAAGAGAAGTGATGAACTAGGTTTAAGCAACATTTGGTTCATTCAAGCAAATATGGAGTATTTTACAGGGATGTTTAATATTGGGGTAAGTATCCCATTTCAATTTCTTTAGTTAATTAAGAAAAATTATGTGCCTTAGACTAAATAAAGGAGATACTTTTATATTCTTTGCTAAACAAGTTTATAACCTTTGTTTCCTACTATCTATAAAATACAGCACATTAATGAATATGATTTCATTCATAACACCTCACCATTATGTGACTGAGGTAACATTTGTTCCTCTCCCAGATATGAACTTTCTTTTCTTCACTGCAGAATCCTCAGTGCCTGAAACTATGTTTGACATGTAGCAAGTGATTAAATAAAAATAGTTATCAATGGAATGAACAAATGATTTCTAATGACAATGACTCCCCTTGGTTTATTTTACATTTTTAAAAGATAATGAAAGAAAAACAAGAAATGTTACTGTTATTCCTTGTATTTGTTTTATTTTTTAAAATTTTTTAATGTTTATTTATTTTTGAAAGAGCGAGGGAGAAAGACAGAGCGGTGACAGGGGAGGCGGAGAGGGAGAGGGAGACACAGAATCTGAAGCAGGCTGCAGGCTCTGAGCTGTCAGCACAGGGCCTGACACAGGGTTCAAACCCACAAACCATGAAATCATGACCTGAGCCAAAGTTGGAAGCTCAACTGGCGGCCTACCTGGTATTTGTTTTAAATAATTTTTTCTTATTATCAAAGGACAATATGTTCAATATTGAAAAATATATAATAATATAAAAAAGAATCACCAGTATTTCAACTACTGAGAAATGAATACTGTCAAAAAAACCTTTAGTTTTTATATAATCATGCACACATACAAATATGTGTTTACACATATGTTACTATCATTGACATAGATCTTGGTTTAACTGAATATTGTCATAAATCTTCCCCCTACTCATCGATCATGTTTCTTTTACTTCATGTTATTATAATGTGTAATTATTACTATGATGGATATCATATGCATTAAGACTTTGATACATTTGCCAAATCACTTTCTAGAGTTGTGCTACTCTGCATTCCCAGCTATATGTGTTCACACAACACACACAATAGGCTGGTCTAGCTGGAACTCTTCTTCAGTTTCAGAAATTCAGACATTCATAGTTCTTGTGATTTTTGTCCAATGAGGTTCATTTCTTAGATATCAACTACTGAGAATTTGTGGGCTTTGTTTTTATCTTTTACAGCAAAAATGCATGCAATTTGTTTCCTTTGTAGATGTGATCTAGGTTGGTTATGTCAAGCCCAGCCTATATGAATAGAAGTAAATTATCAATATGGAAATTCAGGAAAGTGGAGATATCTGAAATAGCAAATTCAAACTGATTATATACTTCCGTGCAACCTAAGTTTTAAATAACTATTGGTGTAAATGTTAAAGCTTCTCTCATGAAATGAGCCATTAAGCCAATGCCACTGTTACCAGTACACCAGGCAGAATATTTAAGGTGCAAGATATTGCTGCCCATTTATTCGACTCTCAAATCACAAAATTCCCTTCTAATCAGCCATATGTCTCTTTACCCTTCTGTGGCTTACAGGTGTTAAATCATTCTGGCATATTCTTATAACTTACAAGGTCATAAGTCACTAACACCAACTGAAAATGTTTATGTCTTTTCTGATGTGACATTTTATAATAATATATTCATAACAGCCTTTTTCTTTCATGGTTACTTTTGTCAAAATATGTAGAAAATGAATTAAAATTACTTGGAAGATTAAACAAAAATTAGATTTACTCTGAAGAAAATAATTTTCCCTAGGAGGATAATTGAGGTATTGTCACTAGGTAAATCAAACTGAATGCATCAGTGGCTCCAACTCTTAAATAGATTACAGTGAAAATAGTGTAGCTAGAGAGGAAATCAGAATAACTAGGTATTGGAAATGCATTAAAACTGCATTAATCCATGATTTGGTGATATTTTCAATAAGGCTTTAGTTAGCATTTATCTTTGCTTAGTAAATACCTTTTTCTTTTGCTATTTTTCTTTAGATTTAAAAATAATGATGTAAACCAGATTTTAAGGAGAGAATTTTAAAGTCTTGGAATCAGCTATATTTAGGAACTTTGAACAAATCATTTATATATATAAGTTGAAATATTAATAATTAGCCTTACCTCCATTAAAACAACATCCCACAGCAGGCAGAAATGACTAGGTTTACTAACTTTGTTAAATTAAGTTGATCTGAAATAAGGAAAGAGAGCAAATTTAAATATTTTCATATCTTTTAATGAGGTCTTCCCACACTTCCACCTACTCTACCTGCCCAATATAACCAGAATCAATGAGGTAATACTGCTTGTTCCAAAGAGCCATTTTGTAATTTCTGGTTTAAATTGTACTTATTTGAGAAATATATATCTTTAGAAATAGAAATGCCCAATAAGCTTTTTAGTATATGTGCTGCCGAAGCGAGCACCCAATAAGCTTTTAAAAACATTCAAAGTCTCAATACATTTGAACTTGAACAACAGGTTCAATAATATTCCATTCTTGCTCTTAATATTTGTAAAAATTTTCAAAGCTATTATTATTCGTTGTCTGAAGGGCTTCAGTGAGATAAGCCTAATCATGCAGAAGTTTTACATTTTTTTACTTTATACGATATTTGCAATGATTTGTTAATGACATAAAAAATTAGTTATGGTGGTAAACAAAGAAAATAAACATAATGGTAAAGAGAGTGGATTTTGATACTGGGCAAACTTGTGCTAAAATCTCAGCTTGGCCACTTACTGGCTGGATGGCGCTAGGCAACTTATTTAAAGTCACTAATCCTCAGTTTTTCTGTGTATAAATTAGGCATAAAATACCTGGCTCATAGGATAGTGATACAATATATGTGAAGCACTTAGCAGGTTGTCTGCCATTTAGGAACTACTCACTAAATTGGGCCTCATCTTACTCTGTGCAGTGTGATCTCAACCATGTAAAAAGTGATTTTAAAAAGGATGAGAGGGGCGCTGGGGTGGCTCAGTTGGTTAAGCAACTGACTTCGGCTCAGGTCATGATCTCACAGTTGAGTTCAAGCCCTGTGTCAGGCCCTGTGCTGACACCTCAGAGCCTGGAGCCTGCTTCAGATTCCGTATCTCCCTTTCTCTTTGCCCCTCCCTTGCTCTGTACTGCCTCTCTCTGTCTCAAAAATAAGTATTAAAAGCATTAAAAAAAAAAAAAAAAAAAAAGGATGGGAGGTGGGATGCCAGGTGGCTTAGTTAGGTAAGCATCTGACTCATGATTTTGGCTCACATCATGATCTCAAAGTATGTGGGTTTAAGCCCTACATCAGGCTCAGCACTCAGCAGTGCAGAGCCTGCTTGAGATTCTCTCTCTCTGTCTCTCTTTATCCCTCCCATATTCTCTCTCTCTCTCTCTCTCTCTGTTTCTGTCTCTCTCTCTCAAAATAAGGAAATAAACTTTAAAAAAAAGAAATACCTTTAAAAAAAAGAATGGGAGGAATATGCTAATACGGATTCTTTTAAAGGTTGCTATCTCCATATGCTATGTGATAACATTTTTCTTTATTATTTACCATATTTTCAAAATACCTCAAATTTAACATTTTGTTTTTATATTCATAATAATATAAGCAATAAAGATTGAAGAATAAATATTTGTGTTTAATGTTTTGTAAATAGCTTATTTAACCAAGAGAGGCTAATAGGTCCCTAAGGATTACTACAAGGCATCTAAAAGAATTCTGAACATATTATATATATATAATAATATATATATATTTCTTTCAAAACAACTATTTGATTATTAGAGGCATAACTTTTGATTGGCTTATTTTATTTTTATTATAATGACGATTAGTATCCTGAGGAAAATATAAAAGTCTTTTCAAAAATAAGAAATATCCAAGAAGGTATTTTTTCCTCCCAGTTTCAATATATGCAGCTGAATGACCCTGAATTATGTGTTATGGGTTGAAATTGTGTCCTCCCTCAAAGTTTCATATGTGAAATTCTTAACCTTTAATGTGATAGTATAGGAGGTGGGCCTTTGTTAGGTAATTAGGTCATAAAGGTGGAGCCCTCCTGAATGGAATGAGTGCCCCTTAGGAAAAGAGGGTTTCCTTCCTCTCCCAGCTCTCTATCTGCAAACCAGGAAGGGATCCCTCACCAGGATCCCTGATCTCAGTCTTCTCATCCTCCAGAGCTGTGAGAAAAATGTTTGCTATTTAAGCTGTCCACTGTATAGTCATTTCTTTTTTCTTATAGCAGCCCAAACTAAGACCCTTAAAGGGAAACTTAGAAAAATTTGCTTCAAAAGAAGACATTTAAGGCTTAAAAAAAGTTTATTTATTTTGAGAGAAAGAGAGAGAAAGCATGTGAGGGACAGAGAGAGAAAGAGGTAGGGAGAGAAGCCCAAGAAGGCTCACACTGTCAGCACAGAGCCGGTGCAGAGCTCAGTCCAGCAAATTATGTGATCTTAACCTGAGCTGAATTCAAGAGTCAGGCACTCAATCAACAGGCGCACAGGTTTGTTTTTTTTTTTTCTTTTTTAAGAATTATTGCCTTCCTGTTTAATGCAGGATAAATAATCTTCATTATTGTGAAAACTTACTTGATAAGATTATGCTCTTTAAGACCTAATTTACCATGTGTATTAATATGCATGCTCTCAAACAATACTACAGAAAGTACCATGACTATGGAAAAACACACTGCATTAAAAAACAAAAACTATGTCAATGCTAAATAACTTTCCCACCAAAATGCTTTAGCTGGCTACTTCCAATAGTAATAGAGTCTTCTGAACCAAATAATAGATACTGATTTCTAACAGTATTGGTGAATATTTTCTATATTGCCAATATGTATATCAAAATCTCAAAACAGTTTTTCTATCATACTCATAACAATTTTTAATATGATAGTTTATGATTTATCAGTGCTGAGTGCTTAATTACAAGCTCATTTCTAGCTATGTATGTTTGTATACAATTACATGCACATGCAATTATACAATGTAATTCAGTAACACTTTTGATGAGTTATTTATGTAATCCCTGTTT